ATGCATTTGTAAGTGGAAAAAAAGGGTGTTCCACTTTACGGCGGTTTCTGCTTTACGGCGGTAGCCTGGAACCTAACCCGCCGTATAAGTGGGGCCCTCCTGTACTCTGATAATTATACTTATGTATACCTGTACTTAAATAAACTTACATACTGTGCTGGCATGCAGGTACACATTAAAATCAGTAAGAGTGTCTTATGTCTCCAGACGTCATATTAGTAATGATAATAATAATCATCGTCTCATTTAAATGTCGTATATTACGTTAAATACACATTTTCATTAATCCATCTATGATATTTTTTCAAAATTATATAATAAACACGATACATAACATAAAAAGATGATAAATACACCCCACAATAGAATAAATAAACATAAATATGAGATGTGGTAGCAGACGACTTGCACAAGTGACGCCATATTAGAAATGCTAATAATAATAATAATAATAATCACCGAGTCTTATTAAATGTTGTATATTACGTTAATATACACATTTTCATTAATCCATCCATGATATTTTTTCAAAATTATATAATAAACACGATACATAACATAAAAAGATGATAAATACACTCTACAATAGAATAAATAAACATAAATATGAGATGTCGTAGCCAGATAACTTGTACAAGTGATGCCAAGAATAACATTTTCTCTAATCTAACATAAGAGAAAATGTGTTACTGGGGGTAACTGTAGAAAATTATTCCTTTCGTATGTATGTAAGTAAGTTTATTCAGGTATACACAAATACAGTTACATAGATTATCATACATAACAACATATGTGTAGAGAACCTAGGATAACCCAAAAAAGTCAGACAGAGTGACTTATTTCCATTGCCTTCACTCAGAGCATCATTTCTTCTTAAAATGATGTTACATGAGAATGGGAGTGTTCTTCTTTATTTATTCTACCATATCAATGTAGAGACAACCTGTACACAATGTAACTTGTACACAAACCAGACGTGTACACTTCGTTTACAAAACTTACCTTCGCCTGGTTTGTTTACATAACTCTGCGCCTGTCCTCTCTCATGCACTCATTCTTTCTCTCTCTCATTTATTCGTTTTATCTCATTTACTTACTCCTGACCCTACATTAAGACTACAAATATTTTAAGGTAAGTAATGAGTGAACTGTATATACATTTTATCGCTCTGGGATGCTTAAATATCATGGAATATATGTGTGGGTGGGTTGGCCTGGTATGGTAGCCCGGCTGACTACCATACATACCACACTTGATTTTTTACAATAAATACTACTCATCTCACCCTATATTTTAAGGTAAGTAATGAGTGAACTGTATATACATTTTATTGCTCTGGGATGCTTAAATATCATAGAATTGTATGTGTGGGTGGGGTGGCCTGGTATGGTACCCTGGCTGACTACCATACATACCACACTTGATTTCTTACAATAAATACCACTTGTCTCACCCTAGATTAGGACTATAAATATTTTAAGGTAAGTAATGAGTGCACTATGTGTGTATTGTACTTTTTATTGTTTTTTGATGCCTGGTTCTATTGCTAACTTAATATATGTTAGTGTAAACTTGTTATTAGTGTTTGTATTCATTTGTAAGTGGAAAAAAAGGGTGTTCCACTTTATGGCTGTTTCCGCTTTACGGCGGTAGCCTGGAACCTAACCAGCCGTATAAGTGGGGCCTTCCTGTATATATAGACACACACACACACACACACACACACACAACACACACACACACACACACACACACACACACACACACACCTGGAACGGAACAGGAGTATAAATGCCAACCAGCACGGATTCACGGAAGGCAAATCCTGTGTCACAAACCTTCTGGAGTTTTATGATAAAATAACAGAAGTAAGACAAGAGAGAGAGGGGTGGTTGATTGCATTTTCTTGACTGCAAGAAGGTTTTTGACACAGTTCCTCACAAGAATTAGGCAACAGAGCATAGGCGCATATAACAGTGGGCACTGCAAGGGATCAGAAATACCTGACGGGGAGGCAAAAACAGTCAGGGTACTAATGATGTATCACATGGGCACCTGTGACGAGCGGGGTCCCACAGGGGGGGGTCCTAACCATGCTATTTTTGGTATATGTGAACGACAGACGAAGTTTTAACTCAGAAGTGTCCCTTTGAGAGAGTGAATTTAATGAGGAAAATTTAAATCTATGAGGACCGGGCAGACTTAAAAGAGCCCGGGAAAAGGGGGGAACCGGTCCCCAAAGGGGCCTTTTCTCAAATTTTTAATCCTCCCAAATGCAAAGTCAGAAATAGGGGAAGGGCACAAAAGACCACAGACGAGTATAGGCTGGGTGGCCAAGACTGCAAACCTCACTAAAAGGAGAAAAAATCTGGGGTGATATAACACCAGCATTTCCCCCGGGAAGCACACATCAATCATAACTGCTGCACAATGGGCGCCTGGCAAACCAAAAGCATTCCGACCCCTTTAGAAAGGGGAACATTAAAGACACGACACCGGTAGTCACCCACACGGAGATGCAGCACCTTTTTGGGGAACCCCACTTGATAAAGCACGCAAAAAACTAAGAAAGAAAAATTTTTGCAAAAAGGGTTTATTCCAGAGCTAAGGGGAAGTCCTAGAAAAAGATTAAGGGAAATGGGCCTGACGCACGGAGGACAGGGGGGTCGGGGAGACATATAACACATAAAAATACGCGTGGAAAGACAAGGGGGAAAGAAGTTTCCAGGGGGGGGGAAAACAGAAAAAAAGGGGCCCCATTGGAAGTTGAAGAAAAAATGACGAGAGATAGTAAAGTATTTTTCAGTCATAGATTGAAAGGCAGGGAATACCTAGAAATGACGTATGGGGGCAGGAACCCTCACATTTTTAAACGAGGTTTTTATAAAGCTCATGGGGGCGGGGGGGGAAAAAGGGGCAGTAGCAACCGTGAAGAGGCGGGGCCAGGAGCTAGGACTCACCCCCTGCAACCACAAATAGTGAGTACAAATAGGTATACACCCACACCACACCTACCATCCGCTTACAGCCCCAACATACACCATTTGACTTACCCGGTTTTTTTGTGCCAAATTTCTGGAAATAAACAACTGTTTGTGTTTTACACTGTGGTACCAAACCTTTCATATAAAAAACATATAACACAAAAAAGTGAAGTAAAAAGTGAAAAACCAAAAAAAACAATAAAATAAATCATTACAAAAATGTGAGTTATATTCAGTAGTAAGGTTCGACTTACGTCCATTTCGACCTATGACCAATTTGTTGGAACAGAACTCGGTCGTAAGTCGGATGGTATCTGTGTATATATATATATATATATATATATATATATATATATATATATATTATATTTATATATATATATACAGTGGACCCCCGCATAACGATTACCTCCGAATGCGACCAATTATGTAAGTGTATTTATGTAAGTGCGTTTGTACGTGTATGTTTGGGGGTCTGAAATGGACTAATCTACTTCACAATATTCCTTATGGGAATAAATTCGGTCAGTACTGGCACCTGAACATACTTATGGAGTGAAAAAATATCGTTAACCGGGGGTCCACTGTATATATATATATATATATATACAGTGGACCCCCGCATACTGTTGGCATCACATAACGTTAAATTCGCATACCGATACATTTTATCGCTAAGATTTTGCCTCGCATACCGCTAAAAAACCCGCTCAACGCTATTCGTCCGAGACGCATCTAATGTGCGGCCTGAGCCAGCCTCACATGTTCCGCCGGTGGCATTGTTTACCAGCCAGCCTCCGCGGTAACATCCAAGCATACAATTGGAACATTTCATATTATTACAGTGTTTTTGGTGATTTTATCTGCAAAATAAGTGACCATGGGCCCCAAGAAAGCTTCTAGTGCCAACCCTACAGGAATAAGGGTGAGAATTACTATAGAGATGAAGAAAGAGATCATTGCTAAGTATGAAAGTGGAGTGCGTGTCTCCGAGCTGGCCAGGTTGTATAGTAAACAACAATCAACCATCGCTACTATTGTGTCCAAGAAAATGGCAATCAAGGAAGCTGTTCTTGCCAAAGGTTCAACTGTGTTTTCGAAACAGAGATCGCAAGTGATGGAAGATGTTGAGAGACTCTTATTGGTGTGGATAAATGAAAAACAGATAGCAGGAGATAGCATCTCTCAAGTGATCATAAGTGAAAAGGCTAGGAAGTTGCATGAGGATTTAATTAAAAAAATGCCTGCAACTAGTGATGATGTGAGTGAATTTAAGGCCAGCAAAGGTTGGTTTGAGAGATTTAAGAAGCGTAGTGGCATACATAGTGTGATAAGGCATGGTGAGGCTGCCAGTTCGGACCACAAAGCAGCTGAAAAATATGTGCAGGAATTCAAGGAGTACATAGACAGTGAAGGACTGAAACCTGAACAAGTGTTTAATAGTGATGAAACAGCCCTGTTTTGGAAGAAAATGCCAAGCAGGATGTACATTACTCAGGAGGAAAAGGCACTCCCAGGACATAAGCCTATGAAAGACAGGCTTACTCTTCTCATGTGTGCCAATGCTAGTGGTGATTGCAAAGTGAAGCGTTCAGGCAAAAGAATATCCTCAAGGCTAATTTGTGTGTGCTGTGGAGGGCAAACAGTAAGGAATGGGTCACTAGGGACTTTTTCTATGACTGGTTACACCAAGCATTTGCCCCCAATGTGAAAAATTACCTAACTGAAAAGAAATTAGACCTTAAGTGCCTCCTGGTGTTAGACAATGCCCCTGGTCATCCTACAGACTTGGCAGAGCGACTTTTTGGGGACATGAGCTTCATTAAGGTGAAGTTTTTGCCTCCTAATACCACTCCTCTCCTGCAGCCCATGGACCAGCAGGTTATTGCAACTTCAAAAACTGTACACAAAAGCTCTGTTTGAAAGGTGCTTTGTAGTGACCTCAGAAACTCAACTGACTCTAAGAGAGTTTTGGAGAGATCACTTTAATATCCTCAATTGTGTAAACCTTATAGGTAAAGTTTGGGAGGGAGTGACTAAGAGGACCTTGAACTCTGCTTGGAAGAAACTGTGGCCAGAATGTGTAGACCAAAGGGATTTTGAAGGATTTGAGGCTAACCCTGGGAATCCTATGCCAATTGAGGAATCCATTGTGGCATTGGGAAAGTCCTTGGGGTTGGAGGTTAGTGGGGATGATGTGGAAGAGTTGGTGGAGGAGGACAATGAAGAACTAACCACTGATGAGCTGCTAGATCATCTTCATCAGCATGAGGCCAGACCTGAGGAAACTGCTTCGGAGGAGGGGAGAGAGAAATTGAAGAAGTTGCCTACTTCAAAGATTAAGGAAATGTGTGGAATGTGGCTTAAAGTGCAAACCTTTTTTGATGACAATCACCCTAACACAGCTATTGCAAGCCGTGCTGGTGACTATTACACTGACAATGTTGTGAACCACTTTAGGAAAGTCATAAAGGAACGGGGGTACAGGCCTCTATGGACAGATATGTTGTGCAACAGAAGTCCAGTGACTCTGAAGCTGGTCCTTGTGGCATTAAAAGAAGAAGGGAAGTAACCCCGGAAAAGGACTTGACACCTCAAGTCTTAATGGAAGGGGATTCCCCTTCTAAACACTAAGACTCTCTCCTCCTCCCATCCCATCAATCATCACCAGATCTTAAATAAAGGTAAGTGTCATGTAACTGTGCATGTCTTTTTTAGTTTGTGTGTATTAAAATTAATATTTCATGTGGTAAAAATTTTTTTTTTTCATACTTTTGGGTGTCTTGCATTGATTAATTTGATTTCCATTATTTCTTATGGGGAAAATTAATTCGCATAACGATAATTTCGCATAACAATGAGCTCTCAGGAACGGATTAATATCATTGTGTGGGGGTCAACTCTGTGTGTGTGTGTGTGTGTGTGTGTGTGTGTGTGTACTCACCTATTTGTACTCACCTATTTGTGGTTGCAGGGGTCGAGTCCTAGCTCCTGGCCCCGCCTCTTCACCGGTTGCTACTAGGCCCTCTCTCTCCCCGCTCCATGAGCTTTATCAAACCTCGTCTTAAAACTGTGTATGGTTCCTGCCTCCACTACGTCATTTTCTAGGCTATTCCACTGCCTTACAACTCTATGACTGAAGAAATACTTCCTACTATCTCTCCGACTCATTTGTGTCTTTAACTTCCAATTGTGGCCTCTTGTTTCTGTGTCCCCTCCCTGGAACATCCTGTCTTTGTCCACCTTGTCTATTCCACGCAGTATTTTATATGTCGTTTATCATGTCTCCCCTGACCCTCCTGTCCTCCAGTGTGGTCAGGCCGATTTCCCTTAATCTTTCTTCATAGGACATTCCCCTTAGCTCTGGAACTAACCTTGTCGCAAACCTTAGTACTTTCTCTAGTTTCTTGACGTGCTTTATCAAGTGCGGGTTCCAAACAGGTGCTGCATACTCCAGTATGGGCCTGACATACACGGTGTACAGTGTCTTGAATGATTCCTTACTAAGGTATCGGAATGCTGTTCTCAGGTTTTGCCAGGCACCCATATGCTGCAGCAGTTATCTGATTGATGTGTGCTTCCGGAGACATGCTCGGTGTTATACTCACCCCAAGATCTTTCTCCTTGAGTGAGGTTTGCAGTCTTTGGCCACCTAGCCTATACTCTGTCTGTGGTCTTCTGTGCCCCTCCCCCATCTTCATGACTTGCATTTGGCAGGATTAAATTCGAGAAGCCATTGCTGGACCAGGTGTCCAGTCTGTCCAGGTCTCTTTGAAGTCCTGCCTGGTCCTCATCAGATTTAATTCTCCTCATTAACTTCACATCATCTGCAAACAGGGACACTTCTGAGTCTAACCCTTCCGTCATGTCGTTCACATATACCAAAAATAGCACTGGTCCTAGGACCGACCCCTGTGGGACCCCGCTCGTCACAGGTGCCCACTGTCATACATCATTACGTACCATGACTCGTTGTTGCCCTCCCTGTCAGGTATTCTCTGATCCATTGCAGTGCCCTTCCTGTTATATGCGCCTGATGCTCTAGCTTCTGCACTAATCTCTTGTGAGGAACTGTGTCAAAGGCCTTCTTGCAGTCCAAGAAGATGCAATCAACCCACCCCCTGTGTGTGTGTGTGTGTGTGTGTGTGTGTGTGTGTGTGTATATATATATATATATATATATATATATATAATAGGTAGTAGGTTGGTAGACAGCAACCGCCCAGGGAGGTACTACCGTCCTGCCAAGTGAGTGTAAAACGAAAGCCTGTAATTGTTTTACATGATGGTAGGATTGCTGGTGTCCTTTTTTCTGTCTCATGAACATGCAAGATTTCAGGTACGTCTTGCTACTTCTACTTACACTTAGGTCACACTACACATACATGTACAAGCACATATATGCACACCCCTCTGGGTTTTCTTCTATTTTCTTTCTAGTTCTTATTCTGTTTATTTCCTCTTATCTCCATGGGGAAGTGGAACAGAATTCTTCCTCCGTAAGCCATGCGTGTTGTAAGAGGCGACTAAAATGCCGGGAGCAAGGGGCTAGTAACCTCTTCTCCTGTATATATTACTAAATGTATAAGGAGAAACTTTCGTTTTTACTATTGGGCCACCCCGCCGCGGAGGGATACGGCTGGTTGTGTTGAAAGAAAGAATATATATATATTTTTATTCTTACTATATATACATATAAGTATATTATAATATTATATATATTTATATATTATATATATATATTATTTTTATTTAAATATATATATATATTTATATATATATATTTTTATTTATAGATATATATATATATATATATGGTATATATATATATATTTATATATATTTATATATGCATTGCGGGCAATGCAATGAGCTAGTAGTTGTTGTGTAGTTCGCATCGCTATTGGGCCGTTGCGGACGTCTCTGGCGCAGACGCTCCTGATTGATGTTGGCTTTTGGGGGCGCAGTGGTGACGTTTGTGATACTTAGCTCTGTGAAGACCTGTTTGCTCTCTCTCGATTGAAAGCAAGATGCCCTCCATCGAGCAACTTATACCACAGCTTAAGGTAGAATGAGATGGCGATAGGGCGGAGATTCGGCGAACTCTGGACCGAGGAAACAAGAAAGATTCGTAGTAGTCCTCCTGTTTTGGAGTCTACCTCAGGTCAAGAAGGGACACTTGTCAGGTGGCTTGACAGCAGGGATACGAAGGTTGACGATCAAGAGGACGAATGGAAAGGTAGAACGATGAAGAATAAAGAGACTGCCGTGGAATCTGTTGTGGAAACATCTAATACATTCTCAGTGCACCCGAAGAATGTGAGTCGAATACTGGGAACGTCACGACGAAGACATCAAGGAAGGTAAGAATATTGTTGTTGTTGGGGAATAGCCAAGTTAGGGCATTTGGAATAGGGTGTGTTTCTGCTTGAAAGGACAGGATGTAGGAGGACAGAGAGTTTGCTTTCCTGGGGGTCTGGGATGGAGGGGATATTGTTAGCCGTCTGGATGAATTCATGAGCGGTAATGGGATGCAGCAATCTATTATCTGTCTCAGTGCTGGAGGAACGATGTTGGCAGACGTAAGAGTGAGACCTGATTAGCAGGTTATGGTCAGCAATAGAAAAATAATTGTGTAGGGTGGAACCTGTCATATGTGGTTATTTTGCCAAGGAGGGGAGTTGGGAATGAGTGTGTTGTCCAGGGCAATGGTGTCAATTGCTGGCTGGACAAGATTCTGTTAAGGAAATGCGGGTTAACATTCGTTGACAACTGGGGGACCTCTTTCTATGCAGAAATGCATGTGAGGCAGGGATGGGGGTTCACATTATCTAGGTCTGGGTGGTAGCACTGGGCATCTGCATGGAGAGACTGTTAGGACTCTTAAACTTAGGGAATAGTTAGTGGTATGAGTTTGGCAGGAAAAACTGTGAAGTCCCAGTGTAGTAATATTACGAGTTCTGGGGAATAGTAATAAGCATGAACGAGGTCGATATTTGAAGAAGCAGTGACTTTGGGTGATAGGACAGTAATAGTTTAGTAGAAAATCAGAAATGAGCAGGAGGGTTAGTTAAAGAGAAAGGAGAGTCTTTCAATGTTTATTGCTAATTGCCGTAGTGGTAGGGAATAAGATGGACGAGTGGAGATTACGTTGCTGGGGCAGGTACATTGATGTATGTGCCTTAAAACTGAGGACGTGGTTTATTCAAAAGTCGGGGACATGCCCTGCGGAATGTCATATTTCCGGGTTTTAAATTGTTCCAAGTAGATAGAAGTATCGGGAAGGTGGTGGGGTGGCATGGTATGTCCATGATCGCTTGAAACTGTTGCATAAAATAACGGGTTATTACGTTCTGAAGTAACACATACAGAGTATGTTTGGATAGAATTTTCAGGGGCATGGAAAAACTGATTTTAGGAGTGATATACCGTCCCCTCAAACGTAGATAGGGACCCAAGGGAGAAGATACTATGGGAGGAAATTGTTAAGGCCACAAGGCACGATTAATGTAGTAATTTATGGGGACTTGAACTTTAGTCATTTTGGATTGGAATTTCTTGACTGGGAATGTGGAATCTTACACTTCTTAGAAGTAGTAGTTCAGGATTGTTTTTTGAAAGCAGTTTGTGACAGAACCTACAAGGGAAATAACCGGCTTGACTTAGTTATGGCAAACATTGAAATCCCCTGTTAATAATTTAGAATTTTTCAGAGGAACTGGGTGCTAGCGACACAAAAATCAATTACATTTTGCATTGAATGGAAGTACGGATAGTAGCGATAACTCAGTAACTGTCCAGAAATTTTGCTTAGCAGATAACAATGGGCTTATTAGGAACAATTTCATCTGTTGACGGGGGTACGAGAGAGCTTATCATATGACAGTTTTGAACACTAATACATGTGCTTCAAAGAACGTTTATCCCATTAAGAAAATTAGATCAAATAGAAATGACCAAAATGGCGATGAATAATAGGCTCAAATATCTACTTCGGGGCATAAGAAAAGGAATTTATAGGGAGTATTCAAAAGAGATGAGGGTTATCTTATGAATCAGTATATTGAAAATTAAAGAGGGACATTAAAAAGGGGATAGAAAAGCTTAAAGGGACTATGAAATTTAAAGTTGCTAGGGATTCTAAAAACTACCCAAAAAGACAGTTTTTTCCAGGTCTATGGAACAAAAGTTAGAGATAAGATAGGTCCCCTTAAAATTATTATGGGCACCTTTACTGACAAAGAGGAAGATATTGTGCTCGATTTTAAAGAATTTTTTTCTCGCAGTTTTTACACAGGAAGAAACTAACATATTCCTGGTAATAATTTTTATAGTGGGCTAGAAGAAGATAAATTATGTAACATCACAGTCCCACTAGTGAAAATGATTTAGTTGTGAGCAGATAGAAAGACTGAAAGGCAAAATAAGTCGCGGGTCCTGATGAGTTTTTTTCAACGGGTCTTAAGGAATGCAAAATGGAACTCTGTGAACCATTAACTAATATATTTTTAATTTATCTCTTCAAAAAGGTGTAGTGTCTGTATGTGGAAGATGGCTAATGTAATTCATATTTTGTAAAACAGGGGAACGTGTTAACGTCAATATTACCACCAATAAGCCTGACCTCAATTGTAGGCAAATTACTAGAGTCAATTATAGCTGAGATTATAAGAAGCCATCTCGATTAAGTATAGCGTGATTAATGATACTCAGCATGGATTTCACAAGAGGCGGTCTTG